CCTGCTGAACCTCTCTTCCGAGTGGTTTGCCAGAGCCTCCTTCCTAGAGCAGAGCCCAGCTGGCGAGCGCAGGAGGCAGGGCTTCCGTTGCTTCGCACCCTTTTCGGGCGAGCGCGGTTTCGTGCTTACCGGCAACTGCTCCCGTCTCCCTTTGCAAAGCGCCACCAGCATTTTTCCTCCCACCGGAGTGAGAGTACCTATTTATCTACTCATGTGAGTTTTCGAACTGTTGGGTTGACAGGAATTGGGGAGGAAACAGGAGCTCACCCTGTTAACACGAAGTCTGGACTCGAACCGCTGAAGTGTCGACCATTTCTGGCCGGCAACTTTCAGCGTCATTAAACCGCTGCGCCACCGCATTCCCCTTTAGGGATGGATTGTCAAAACTAAAAGTGTTGTTCCATGACTACAGTTTGCTTAATCCATGTGCCACCACTAAATTAGATGTAGTTTCATGATTTAATGGTGAATATTGTTTCTCTCATAATTTCAAAACTTCCCTGCCCACAGTTGCATGTTACGTACTTTTCACTGTGTCCAGCTGCATCAACATCTGTTATCCTTGCATGACAGGATCCAGGCACCATTGGCTGAACGGGTTGACTGAGTAGCAGTCTATGCGACCAGAAATTAAAGAACATGTCAGTGAAGAGCAAGTAAATTGAACAGAGGAAGAGCAGAGGAGGAGGAGGAGGAGGAAGAGGAGGGAAATTATTAATAAGCCTGTGGGAGTTGCATGCTTTGGAGCCAGAAGATTAGCATCTGAACCAGATCCAGGAACACACAATTCTTAGATAACAGGAAATTCTAACCTTATTATCACATGTGTAAATTGTCTTCCTGTCCTTATAATAAAAGGAGAGCCATTCCTGATTGAAAGGATCTACACATTGTTGTTGCCCTGAGACTGTTTGTTTATTTTCTTATTATGATATCTCGCTTTTTCTCTAAGGAGCTCAAGGTGACTTGTATAGTGTGATCCTTCATGTTATCCTCACAATAACCTTGCAAATCGGGATGGTCTGAAAGAAAATGAACTCCATGATGAAGCAGGATTGGAATATGGGAATCATAATCCTCTGACTTCTACATCACTGTATAAAACTGTACTTCAATATATTCAAACACAGTATGTCACAGTATTTATTGATTAAACATATATGCTGCACACTCCATTTGGACTCATGGTGGCTTTCTGAACGACACCTACAGTATAATGTAATAATAAACAGTAAACATCCACAATAAAGTATAAATAATAAAACATTCCCACTATAACATAACAATAAATAATAAAATCTTGGCAATAATTATAAAATTATACTGTAACACTATATTCACAAAACCACCATTAATAAAATCCAATAAACAATATCATTCCATTGTGAAATTAATTATCCTAATAGAATGTATACAAAATAATCTCTTAATTGCATACAAGATGACATTCTACCAAAAGCCCTCCAGAAAACTCAGTCTAATTATAGCTTTTATTGTGTGATATGGTATCACTGTATTGGATTTCTATGCAGAACTCATTAACTGTTGGGAATATACAAAACAACTATACTACATAATGGTGGTAACTAGTTTACTCTGAAGTTGATTGTTAAAACTTTATGCAGTTTGCCAGATCAGAACAGAGAGAATTTTATGTAGTAATGTGTACCAGAGCAGTGTGAAGCATTCTATTACATTGCTCTGCAACTGAAACGAAGCAGCTCTCTTAGGCTCATTAAAGCTGTTATGACTTTTGCAAGGCTCATAAAGTTGCTTAGAAAACTGGTTCTAGTTGTGTCAATACATGTATGCCTGTATGCACATTCATTTTGCTGTTGTGCACTGTGAAGCAATTCATTCTGTGCACCATGAAGCAACTGTATAAGCCATAAGTATCATCTGAAGTGGCAGTTAACTTGGTGGTATGGTAAAGGAGTTTTTAATTCACATTTTATTTTAGGCAGATTTTTTTCTATTTCCTAGAGAGTTAATTTTTTAAATTTTGCATCTCTAGGTATGTGTGTATTCTTTATTCATTGTAAAGTGAGTTTAAAGGAAGATAAAATAAGGTATTTTTCCTAACAAGAAAAAAAAAAACAGATGGATTGCTAATGTCAATTTATAGATCAAAAATGAAAAACATGTATTTCTGAGTTTATTCTCTTTGTATATTTTTCAATATGCTAATCTTCCCAATAAAACTAGCCTTTTCTGTATATTCAGGATGTTTATCTGTAACATAACACTGTTATATAACCCTTTAAAAATTTATACCTGTTCTGTGCTCTGCATAACATTGCTTACCATGAAAAGAAATAGCAGGATAGGTTATGTATGTATGTCTATGTGTTTGTGGTCTGTTATAGTAATAATCTAAATATCAGATATAATTTGTTACTATACTACTGCAAATAATGATAAATCTTTGACTTAAAAAAAAGAAAAACCACAAGCTTATTGTAATTCTTTTACCTTAGCTGTCGATCATGGCCCAGGTCTGTAAGGCTGTGCTGGAGGGTGCTATCCTGTGCAACTGCAGGAGATGGCGCAATAGCCAAAGACGGTGGGAGCACAGAAGCATTGCTCAAGGGCGAAATCAAATTGCCAGAAGAATGACAGCTATCTTGAATCTCTTGTGAGGTTCTCACAGATTTCTTATCCTAGAACAGTTTAAAATAATAGTAAGGGCAACCAGAATCAACAAAAAAGTATTGGGTTTATTTCATGGTGTAGAGTTAAAATCAAGTCATGATTTTTTTCATTAAATTACCATTTAGTTCTTTCTCAGAGGTAAACCCAGGCAATATAGTTTTATTGGCAGCAATAGTGGAAGAAATTTGGTGTGCCTTTTTCCACATTAACTGTTTGTAAACAGTCTGCTCTACAACCATGGGTGGTCCCCTCTCCAAATACTAGCCAGCCAGACCCTGCTTAGTTCTTTCCAGATCAGCCAACGTCAGTTGGCATCGCCATGCTTTCTCAAAGAAGTCATTACACTATGCGCACCCCTTGGAAGTTCAATGCTACCTATTTTACAATTGGAATATGGGGCTGGTATTATTTTTCACGTTTTGATGAACCTGGACAAATTCACATAAGGTTTGTCAAAGTAAAAATGATTTGCTAAAGGTGGCATTTCAACTAAATTGCAGACCATATGTGCTATATTAAAACTGAGCATGGTTTCTGGAATACCATGAACCACTTTCTATTTGAAAGATATACTTTCAAAATTTGCTGGACTACTCCCAGAATAATGGATTGTCATGATCTGGAAGAAGGATAAAAATATCACTATTTTCCATGCAAGGTAAGATAACTTTACTTTCCCTGCACAGTCCTATACTGCTGACAAGTTCTAAAAGCAAAGACAAAGAATAAAGTCAGTGGACAATGGAAACAAGGAAAACAGGAAAAACCTGTTTTTGTATAGGTTTAAATGTCCATTTTTAATGGGAAATGTTATCAAGAATTTATCAAGAATCAATCTCAGGGCAAGTTAGTACCTGATTTAATAGAACATCTTCCTCTCCTATCAGCTGATGGTCTGTGGTTTGTGAAGCTGCAATCTGCTTTTTAAGATGGGACCTTGGGATAATCTCCTGCTGCTGAGAATCAGGTACAGACTTTCCTTGGGGTTCTTGGTGCTGAATACTGCTAAAACTCAGAGATGCTGTGGGCTGCTGTAAAAACATCTGAAAGAAGCAATGTAAAAAATATTCCAAGGGAAAAAGTACTAAAATATTTTAATGTGTATCTTAATATTGATAAGTGAGGCAAATCATAAGATTAAACCTAATCTACTATTTAGCAGCAGTTTTTTTTTTATTATTATCAGAATTTAGCACTAGAATTGCATGTGGAATTACATTACTTCTTTCTGCACATCTGAGGCTAGGAGAAAGGTTTTTCTCCTGAGAAGATATAAAACCTGGTGTCTCAGTTTCTAAATCAAGTTCTAGTTTAAATTCATATTTATTATGCTCTATTGTGAATCTTTTTTCTATTTATTCTAAAACAGGTAAGATGCATAATTTATAATTAAGAAATTCCAAATCTCTAGTAAGGTGAAACTATAGAAAAAAAATAGAAAAGAATAAAGTTACTGTATGCATCCCTAGGATAAAGATACTTCGTGCGTGACTGTGCATGCAGAAATCTTAATGGTAAACATTATAGTATTATAGGAACCAATGTAATTGCATATTCAGGATATGATCTATATGCCTTATTAGAAATTTATCAGTAATGTTTCTTCTCTGAAATTAATTAATTATATATATTACACAGTATGTATGTGTATATGTGTATATGTGTGTGTGTATATCTCTATCCATCCCATTATCTTCTCCCTCCCTCCCTCCCTCCCTCCCT